TATATATATATACATAAGCATTGTATCAAGAGGCACCCATAGCATAGAATAGAAATGTGGCACCCAGTGTATATGATTAATATAAAATGTGGCATTAAGGCACCGATATATTTTGTGCTAAAGTAGCACTCTTTATATACAATATAACAAATGCATATCTTGTCGCTCTCGAAAAATCCCCGGCCCCATTGTTTTGGTTTTGGTCACAATTCCAGATAAGCTGGCGTGCATGGGCCTGTTTTGCTTACATTCGGCCTTCCTGATTCACGGATTGTCCTCAATCCGGTCTTGACCTAGACATTAAAATCTATTTTCAGATTTTTAGGATTAAATTACACCGGCATTTTGCATCGTCAAGGATGCATTCGCATTCGATGCCATACAAACATTAATCACGTGTGTGCTTCGAACACTCATTTATTGAGTATTTTACACTTTAATCGGCTATTTTGTATCGACTGTTTTAGTGCACACCGAACAGTTTACAAAGATAGCTTTCCCCTATGCCTCGAATATTTTCATGTTTATCGTGCACCACGTTTTACATGATCGAATATTTTGCATATCTGGGTAGAACACAAACGATTCGAATGTTTTGGTTTACTGTCTTACTACGAACATTTTGCGTTTGTGTCGGACTGTAAATTCGTTATGTTTACGAGTACTTAGCATTTATGTACGTATGTACCATCCTATGCATTGAACACTTTACAAAGCGTTTAGAAACTAATTTTGAAAAATCTGTGATGTTTCATTTGTACCCCTTTTACTGCTTTATAAACTTTTTTTTTTGTACTCATATGTCTCGAGCTTAGCTGCTTTACATATGTTTAGTCAATAGGTATAGATACATTTAATACATTACCACTTGTGAGAGGCGTAGTTTTGTCGTCCAGGGCTTCATTTTGTCAACACTAACTACAATTGGGCATTTACGGTACCTCTCGGACACCTGGTCTGCAGCGTACCTGTCGTTCGCCAAAATTGCTGTAATTCGAAATGGCCCTTTAAACTTAGGTTGTAGCTTTCGGCTCTCACCGGTGGCGGGACTATCGGTTTTTGCAATCATCACCAGATCGCCGACCTTGTATTCCCTAGATTTCGATCGTTTCATGTCAAAGCGTTTCTTCTGAGTCTCTTGATCTGCGGATAATCGATCTTGTACTTTTCGTCTTAGGGTCGCTAAGTCCGCACGATCAAATTGATCCATCAATTCGCTTAGTATTATAGACTCTGGGATGCTACGTGGTTTACACCCATACAACACTTCAGCGGGCGTAGTTCCCATGGTTCGATGGAGTGTGTTATTTAGTCCCCTTTGCACTGTCTTAACCTGTAAGTCCCATTCATCATCTTCCTTGCCCCCGTTTAATGCTGCCAGAGAACTGAGGATTGTGCGGTTAAATCTTTCGCATTGCCCATTCGCACGCGGCGTGGCGACTGCATTTAAGACGTGCTTTATTCCATATTCTAAACAAAATTGCTTAAAGCTTCGCGAGGTGAATGCGCTACCTCGGTCCGTTATGATCCTCACTGGGACTCCAAATATATTTACTATGTCTTCAACTACCCGTATTACGTACTTTGTCTTCGTACTTCGTACGGGTTCGATGATGCAGAATTTAGTAAAGCCATCTACTGCCACTAGTAGATGTGTATTGCGCTTATTGGATTTCACAAAAGGTCCGAGGTGGTCAAGGTGAATGGTATGAAAGGATATCGGTACTTTTTGTATAGGATGCAGCTTTCCTGGCTTTCGTCCCGATGGAGTCTTGTAGTAAAGGCAATTTAAACAGGAGTCAACATACTTTTTTACAAATCGACGCATCCCTGCAAACCAGTAGTTCTCCTGTATTTTGTTTAGGGTCTTTTCTAGGCCAAAATGCCCCATGTCGTCGTGACATAGTTTACATATCTGCCAACGATTGGCTCTCGGCACAACCCATTTTGCGTCTTTGCCCAACTTCCGATGAACCTTGCCTCCTTTTAATATGTAGTTGTCAAAATATACCTTCAAGCCTGGATCTTGATTATTTGATTCTAAAATTTCTCGAATTCGACATATTTCTTCATCCTCTAACTGCGCAGCTTGAAGCCAGTCGGCCTCCGTTATATTTATAATGGTATTGATTTCTTGTTTATCTTCAGATGGGTTACGACTCAGGCAATCTACATGTGCCATTCTGGCACCAGGTCTGTATTCAATTTCATAGTCAAAGTCTTGCATTTCGAGCCACCATCGTCCGATCCGGGGAATAATATCCTTTTTAACAGTAGTACTTTTGACTGCACTGCAGTCCGTTACCAATTTGAATTTGATTCCAATTAGGTACACTCTAAAATGACGCATAGCTTCTAAGACTGCGAGCGTCTCCAATTCATATGAATGATATTTGTGTTCCAACCCCGTAGTTTGTCTGCTGTAGTAGGCTACGACATGTTTGTTTCGTTTATCATCCTTTTGAATTAAAATGCCGCCTAGACCCAATTTGCTGGCGTCGGTATGGACTTCTGTTTCCCACACATGGTTAAATATTGCTAGGACCGGTCGGGTGGTTAGTATTTCTTTCACTTTGTTTACAGCTTTGTCTTGTTCGTCCTTCCATTCCCAGGGGATGTCTTTTTAATAATTTTGTCAAAGGTTGTGTTATAACAGCAAAGATTCGAACAAATTTCCGGAAATACCCAGCCAACCCTAAGAACTGCCTAAGTTGTCGGATATTTTTAGGGATGGGCATATCCAATATTGCTGCTATTTTTCGTCTGCCTGGTCGTACCCCTTCCATTGATATTTCGCGCCCCAAGTATTCTATTGTAGTTTGGAAGAAAGAGCATTTGGAAAGTTTTAAAGTTAAATTATGATCTCTGAGCCTCTGTAAAACCGCTTCTAATTTTCGTAAACCATCCTTGTATGTTTTGGCCGGTATGATGACGTCATCTATATAGACCAGTCTCCCAAGACGGTATTCATAAGTCG